TTGACTTGGATCTCTTTCTTGAGCTCACGGGTGCTTCTCTCCTTGGGATCGTGTCGCAGACATCGGGAGAACAATCTGCTCAATCTCTCTACTCTCCAGAGGATGAAGTGGACGATCTGTTGTGCCTTGGACTCATCAATGGACAGATTGATTCTGCATTTATGATGGGTAATCCTCCGGGTCTGCATTGGCCTGTAGATCTTCTTCATATAGTCCATGTAGGCACTCTCTGTGGGCTGCCCATATCCTTGGAATGTAGGAGCCCACCAAGCATTGAACCGTGCCTTTAGCCAGAAAACCTTGTCTCCCTAGTCTCCCTCGTGTTCTGGAACTAAGTGGAAATTCGGTTCGTATTCAAGAATGGTGGAGCATTCCTGGTAGCCCTGGATGTAACTCAGGAATTTGCTGTGCGAAAATGGGATTCCTTCAGGAGGCGAACGGTCATCCTCTCAGGTTTGCTCGATGTGATCCATTTTGATTGATCGATGGATGGAGGTGGCAGGCTTGGAGCCGTCTTTCCAGCAATGCGTAATGGCTTGGAGGTTGATGGCTTAGGAGTTTGTGTGAGTGACACCTTCTTCTTGGAATCAGATGAGGATCCTTGCTCTTTCTGCAAGGATTCTTGCTCATCTGGCAACAAAAGATCAATTCCGGGTTTCTTCGGAGGCATGGTCTCATCCTTCCTGACCTTTGTCATGTTGACTTTGATGAGCTGGGTTCCAAGGTCAAGTCCAAGCATTGTTCCTTCCAGAGAAATGACTTTTCCTCTTAACCATATTCCTTTTTTGCTTCCGTCGGAACGAATCTTGGTTTTGTCTTCCTGCCAGTAAAATACCTTGTCCAAGGTCTCTGCGGATGTCTTTGGATTGACGAGCTTCTTGGAATGCTTGTTTTGGCGCCTGCTTAATCTGGATGGCTGTCAACTCTTCCTCATTCCTGTCAATCGTCAATTGAGTTGGAGTTGCGACATCAAGCTGGACAAGATCTGCTGGTCGTCGTCCGAATGCAAATATCACACGACTCCTGCAGCCAGTACCAACATCGACATCCTTGAGCAAGGCACTCTACCGATTCTCCTCAGCATCAGTCAGATGCGGAACCTCTACATGACCATTGAGCACACACCTCAATGTGACAAGATCACACGCAAGGCTTAAGGCATGAATCGTCAAGCGGTTCCAGTATCCGGTAAAGGACATGCACTGGTCGATCTTGCTGGAGTGGCAAGAGTGAAATCACATGGAGAGGTTGCTGAAAAATGCCTCACAAATTATGTCTACGACGATGACAACAGCATCAAGTTTCCTTCCGAGGATTACTCCAAGAGAGGAACTGTTTGTCATCCGAGACAAAAGAGGACACAGCAACTCCGAAAACCATTGTGTCTCTAAGCAGGATCATTGGATACTCGACAAGAAGAACAAGCAGCTCATCCGTGTGCACATCACGCCTCGCAAGGCGCTGTTCACACCAACAGGAGCGAAGGAATGTCCAATCAGTCCTGACAACATCAGCCGAGAACGTACAACAGAGATTGATGCATCCAAGGGTGGAGATCCAGACATCCTAGAAGACAATAGGAGACTTACATCCCAGGCGAACAAACCAATGATCAACCTGTGGATAGGTAAGACCATTTTCACCTTCGCAGACAATCCGCTAAAAGATGAAGAATCAGGTTCAGGATCTGCAGCAGACAGGATCATCGACAAGAAAGGCCGGTCGACCATTGAGCCAGATCCTACTGCACCATCCACAGACGAACCGACATCGTTACCGCTTGCCTTAGGCAGAATCCACCAGCGATCGTCAAATCCCGAAGAATTTCAGAAGCTCCACCTTCAGCATCATCATATGACTACCGACCAATTTCGATTCAGAACCCGCGCTCTTCGCTTTGCCGAAATCTACCTATGACTTATTTGACAAAGTCCGAAGTGAGTGCGAAGTTTGCCAAGCAGCAAAATATGCACCATCTAGAAGCAAAACTAGTGGACTTCGAGCGGATACATTTGGAGACATGACATTCATTGAGCACTGTCAAGTTCCCCTCGGAACCGGAGAGCACATCATTGTTTTTGCCATTCTGGATGGAGCAACGACATTGCTCACTGCAGAGGCAGTGACAACCACACAAGAAGTGGAGAACATCACTGTCCTCAGGAACTATTTTGACCAGTACCACTTGCAGCCCAAATCAGTTGATCGTTTGGACCAAACACACCATGACCGAATCGAGCTGAAGCAGCAGTTCGACTCCTGAAGGCACAGTTGAAGACCATGCTCAACTCCATCAAGGCAGGCACGGCACCTGCAACCTTGAAGAAGGTAACATACCGACCAGCTGCAACTGTCAGAAATCAGACTGTTATTTATGGGGGTGTAACACTTTTGGAACATACTTGAGATGCAAGGCCCAATTGACCTTAGCTGTCTCTCCATTGGCAAATGTGAACTTGGTCTCGGCCGGAATGTACTGGTAGGAGATGAGATCCGTTGTCCAGAATCGCATAGGTTGGATTGTGCTGACATCAGCCCCATCTTTGTTGCCAACAGGCTTTGCTTTGTTGTGACGGACAGATTGTGTTCTGAAACTTTTTTTATCTTGGATCAGCTTCTCGTGGATGGCCTCTTTCTCATGCTGCTGAAAAGCGTCATGGAATGCCATTAATGCTTGTCCTGTGCTGGATGTCTCATGTCTCATGGATGAGTACCAGCCTGATTCACTCCAATTCCATGATGGATCCCAATCTTGGTCTGTCCAACCGGCATAGGTAGGCTCTGTGGATTGCTGATTGGCGGACTGCTCCTCCAAATTCTCTGCCGTGGCTGCGAACGTTTTGGATTTTCCTTTGTCATGTCCGCCTTTTTCTTGTTTTTATGATAGGGATACTGGAATTTCGATTTTCCTTTCTTCCCTTTCTTTCCTTTGCCTTTTCCCCAATATGCCTGGCCGTAGGGATCCTGATTTTTGTTGGCCATATTGGCCTTCCCGCCGGAACCACTTTTCTGAAAGGTTTGAAGCCACTGACTGCCCTTTTTGCTTCCTGATTTTCCTTTTCCTTTTCTCTTCTTGAATCTGAAATTTCGCCCAGACACCTTTCTTGCAATGAACGCATCATTCTCCTCCAAAACCCAGAAAAGTCTCTTCATCGCCATGAATCCTTCCAGTCCTTCTTCATCTTCCCAGAAACTGTCTTCACCTTCATGCTCCCCTTGTTCTAGGATGTAGAAGGTAGTACTCCGATTTCCTCCTGGAGGTTGGATGGATGGATCTTGGATGGATGTTCTTGTTGTAATGAAGAGATCGTGGTGCTGAGCCTTCATCATCTCATAGGTGTAATTCTCGAGCGAGATGTTTCTGAATGACATTGTGCACTGATCAGTCTTTTTCTCTGCTGATCTGACAACTCACTCTGGATGATGAAACGTTGCATAATGAGATTGTCGCTGAGGGGAAATGCGTTCTTGTGTCTTGTCTGCATGCGGTTGAGGTACTGCCTGTCTATGGACAGCAGATCTGGAGGCGTGGCTCTGACACCGGCGGCTTGCTGATGCGCGGTTGCATTGGCATCTTGCACTGATGCTATGAACTCTGGTGACTGTGCCGTGTGAACAGGCATCAAGTCCATCCGGGCTGCCTTCAATCTCATCAAGAGAATTTTCAGTTTTTGACTATGAGGAGCTCGGTGTTCTGCCTTCTGTGATTGAAGAACCTGAGAAGTCTCTATAAGTACACGTTCGTCAAGCCCTTCGGGAAGAACTTCTTCAGCGTGTTCTTGAAATAGTTGACTCCTTCTTCAGGGTCTTGCAAAAGGTCATTCTGGAGGACTGTGTTGTACACGTGAGCGTCTCCAATGAGTCTGCTCTTGAGGAGTGGTCCTTTCTTGGATTCCTCTATGGTTGTGAAGGTCACCCAATCATCTACGAGTTCTTCATATCTAAGCCAGCTGACTTTTCTGTCATACGGTGGCGGCTGCCTGGCAGTCATCGATAAGTTTAGCGTCTCTTCAGTGAAGCCATGGGATCGGCCTGCACTTGGATCGGCTTCCATGAAGCTTTCTCGGTATCTTATCCTCGAAGGGAACCGATACCTTGTCGTAGTAGAGGATATTTATGTGGTGGCCCTGGATCTATTCCGGAGAGTTCCAAGTGTCAATTCTGATGGATTGATACTGGATAAGCGCCTGGTAAACAGTGTGTTGTGGTTTATCCTGACAGTGGTCCGCCAGCACCTTCGTATCACGGATGCAATGGCTCAGCGAGCTAGGTGCATCTGAGGTCTTGAGCCAAAAAGGTAACGTGTTGCATGGAGATCAATGGGAGGGGAGGGGTCAGGCAGGGGGGTCAGGCAGGGGGGGGGCGTGTTTCTTCCGTTGAGGCAAAGGTCTTCATGCTGCCTAGCTTCGCGGCATTCTTTGCTTGGATAAAGGGGGGGTGAATGTTGATGGTGGAAGAAAAGTGGTTGGCGGCCGCAGAAACCCCCTGTGTTTTCAGGATATCATCTAGGAGAATGTTGATTGCCCCGCCACTTGGCCGGCTTTTCAGGGTTCTGTATGTCTGTGTTCTCAGGCTCGCTGATGGCAAGAAGCTTGGGCTAGTCGCCCCCTCCTCAAAGCACAGGCGCTTCATTTGGGCAGTTGGTGATATGTTGTTGCCATTGGTCCATGCTGCTTCTGTGCGGTGAATTGAGGCGAATGCAGAGTGGTCTTCTCGCACAGACAGTTCCAAACAAGCTTGCGCAAAGACGCTTGCACCTGCAGATTTGCGCGTCAGGCTCGCGGCTAAAATTTGCTTCCCTTGTTGACCGCTTGACTGCGGTGCTAGGTTTCGGATCTGTGACGTTTTGGTTTTGCTACGTGAAGCATGTCCTGGGCAGCGGAAATGGTAGCGTCCTAGTGCTATCCTGCCGTGCAATACTGATTGGCATGATGACTTGGCTTTGCTTCAGGCTTTTGGCTTACGCGGGTGGGGGGAACATCAGACTGCGGGGTTCTGCCATGGTTCTAAAGCTGCTGCTTTTGCTGGCAGTCGTGCACGGCGGTGTGGTGGAGCTAAAAAGCGGCCCACTGGCTAGTCATACCTGCGCTCGCGATGACAGTCGCTCAGCTGCAGCCAGACCAGGCTCCGTTTGCCATCGCATAGCAAAACATCAGGCGCGGTTGCATGGTTCAAGTGACCCATGAATCATCAGCTAGGTTTTGACATGAGGCATGTATGCACGCGTGTCCAGAGTCTGAAGGTTTCCTTGAGAGCTCCTGCGAAAGCTTGGCGGTCCTGCCATGCACTCTCAGGTGGACAAGTGAAGTGCTGGGGCGCAAACACTGGCGGCAAGCTGGGCACGGGAAACACGGCCTCGTATGGTGATTCGGCCGGGGAGATGGGTGCCAATCTTCCTGCAGTGGACCTGGGCACCGGCCGCACGGCTGTGGCCATCTCATTGGGTCAAGACCACACCTGCGCGCTGCTGGACAATGGATCCATGAAGTGCTGGGGGGACAACTCTCAGGGCCAACTGGGCCGCTTGGGCCCTAAAGGCATTCAGGCTTGCTTCTTTTTAGCTAGGTTTGGGGGTTTCTGTTTGTTCGCGGATTGTGCATTTGGCAGGTGCCCTAAGAGAAAGTCATCCGGGATTGAGGTTTTGTTGCGGGAATATTTTTGTTCTCTGGAATGGTTTTGCGGCTTTGGCTTTCCACTCCCCCAGCATCACAAGTAACACCCCCAGCACCACCAGGCACGATCCCTAAACCCGCAGTAAACCTCTGTGCGCCCCACTCTGTACAGACTTTTACACACCTTGAACGAACCCGAAGCCCAACCCTACACCCCTTGAGCCCACCCTAGACTAACTCTAAACCCACCCTGAACCAGCACCTAACAGCGGCCCGGACCCACCCAAAACCAACCCAGGAAAACCAACCTCAAACCAACCTTAAGTCTTTGTAGGGCTTTGTTGTTTAGAGTGATCCCGCGGGAATCGGTTTAGTTTAGAGCGATACTCAGACTGATTAAGGGCAGCGCATCCTGCCAGTTTCGAGGGAGTAACATTTTTTCCGCATTTCCCGCTCGCTCGTTTCAACCCTTCGATGATGGCTGAGGTTGATCGTCACAAGCAGCACACTGCATTCTGCAGCGCAAATACGATTCCAACACACAAATGCTCATGGTTGGCAGATAGAATTGGCATCGCCCAGGCGGCAAGTGGGCAAAACAAAGCAGAGGTGAGGACAAAGGCAGCACACTTTAGGGTGGTTGCCAGGAAGAACATTGGAAAGCCCTAGCAAGAGGGAAGGGCGGGCGGAATCTCTGTGTGGTCGATTTACTCGCAAAGATCGCCAAAACCTTTGCCATGTACGCCCTAGCCATCCTAATCCAACCTGAGCCCCAGCATAAAGGCGACCACCCCTATATCAACCAAAACCTCAGCCAGAAGCCAACCCCAAAGCAATCCTAAACCAACCCTAAGCTTACCCGAAACCGATCCTCTACCCGCACTAAACCAGCCCGAAATCCACCGTAGATTCATCTTAAACCTCCTTGAACCACCCGAACCCACTGCTAACCCCAAATCCAGCCCTGAATCAAGCGAAAACAGCAGCCCGCTGGAGACGCTGGGGGTGTTCAGCAACGATGCCAGGGTTTTGCAAAATGCCGGGGATGTTGATGCCAGAAGTGTAAAACTAAAAAATGCGGCATCTCTTTCACCCCGGAGGCCAAGACAAATTAATTCTTGGCACGTTTGCCTGCCCTGGTTTCTTTGTGAGCCCGCTGCGCTGCTCAGGGTACGGCGACACCACCAGCAGGGGCAGCAATTCCGCTCACATGGGCGACAATCTGGCCGCCATCGATTTGGGAGATGGCCGCACGGCCACGGCCATCGCGACAGGACAGTACCACACCTGTGCCATTTTAGACGACTGGTCCACAAAGTGCTGGGGCTACAACGACAACGGTCAACTTGGCCTGGGGCACACCAACAACATAGGAGATGGTGCAGCAGAGATGGGCAACAGCCTGGCGGCAGTCAACCTAGGTACCGGGCGGTTTGCCAAGAAGATATCGGCTGGCGCCGGAATCACATGTGTTGTGCTGCTGGACGACACGGCGCTTTGCTGGGGGAAGAACAACGGTGGCCAGCTTGGCCAGGACAGCACAACCAACATGGGAAGTACATCCGGAAACTCCGTTGACAGCATGTCAACGATCAACTTGGGCAGCGGCCGCACAGCGAAGATTGTGGCACCAGGGGAATTCCACGTATGCGCGTTGTTGGACGACGACACTGTCAAGTGTTGGGGTTCAAGCTCCTATGGCCAGCTCGGCCAGGGCGACACTAGCAGTTGGGGAACCAGCAGTGGCAGCAATGGCATGGCCAACCTACCAGCTGTGGAATTGGGGCAGAGTGCCTCTGCGCTTGCAACAAGCACTCATCACAACTGTGTCAGGCTGGCAGATGATTCCTTGAGGTGCTGGGGTTACAATGGGAGTGGAGAGTTGGGGCTGGGGGACACAGCTAATCGAGGCGATGGTAGCGGAGAAATGGGCACCAGCTTGCCAGCGGTCAGCCTAGGCACAGGCCGCACTGTCACGTCAGCTGCGCCTTCACGTTACCACACTTGTGCTTTGCTGGATGATGAGACTGTGAAGTGTTGGGGGTACGGGAACGATGGCCGACTTGGCCAAGGGAGCACAGACCATATCAGGACGGCCGCGGAAATGGGCGACAATTTGGCCGTTGTTGAACTCTTCCCCACCACTACCACAAGCACCTTCTCCACCAGCACGACCACCACCAGAAGCGCCAGCACCACCAGCACTACCAGCACTGGCACCAGCAGCACTGCCACGACCATCACCACCAGCACAAGCGCCAGCACAAGCGCGACCAGCACGGCTAGCACCAGCACAAGCACAACCAGCACCACCGGCACGCGCACAAGCGTGACCGGCACCAGCACAAGTACAAGCGCGACCGGAACCACCAGCACAAGCGCCAGCACAAGCACCAGCAGTAGCAGCACCAGCAGCAGCACTTCCACCACCACAACCACGAGTGGCACCAGCAGCGCGACTGTTACCAGCTCAAGGACAAGCGCTACCCACACCAGGAGCACCACAACTTCCACCAGCAGCACCGGTTCTACCAGCAGCATCACGACAACTATAAGCAGCACCAGGTCAACCACCGCCAGCTCAAGTTCGACCAGCAGCTCAAGCAGCAGTAGCTTCAGCAGCAGTAGCACCAGCGCTAGCACCAGCTGGACCAGTAGCAGCAGCAGAACGAGCAGCACCAGCACTACTGCCAGCTCCACCAGTACCACCACAAACACGCGAACCAGTGCCACTGGCAGCACCAGCACCACCAGCAGCACCAGCAGCACCAGCAGCAGTAGTGCCACTTTCACTAGCACCACGACCATCAGCAGCACTGTGACCCGCAGCAGCACCACCCGCACTTTCCAAGGTGCGGCCGAGGTGGCCGCGTATATGGAACAGCAGCGTGTCGAAGCAGTGAACTCAGCAGTCTCCAGCGCGGAGGCGGCAGCGCAGGCTGTGCCTTGCCAGTGCAGACTTATGGCACGTGTCGACGTTTGGCCCAAAAACCACCATCTGCCAAGCCGAGGTAGTGGATGCCTCGGCAAAGCAGCTCCTGCAGCAGCTGGATGTGGGGGAGCCCATGATGCAGTTGGAGCAGCAGACGCCTGATGGGGCTGTGACGGCCGGGCTTCAAAGGGATGGAGTTTTCGAGCGGCGACGGACTGGCCAGACTGAAGCAAACAAAGCTGGCGTAGACTCAAGTGAGTTTGCATCGACAGGTGTTTTTTGTTTACAAAGAGAGTATCACCGAAGTCGCGAATACTTGAAGGGGCATGAGAGTTAGTGTTTATTTGCATGAGTTGTTATGTACATACAGCACATACGCAGCCAGCTTACAGAACTTACGCAAGTTCACTTAGTGCAGTTAGGTGTGAGCTTAGCCTACTCAGGGTTCAGACTAAATATGCGTGGGCGCTTGCTCACGGGCGCCAAACAACTATGTATGACTTGTGCTTTTCCAGTGCAAGAAGGAGGGTGTAAGGGAAGACAATGTCTGAAAGGCAGCAAAGGAGAACGCTTGCAAGCCCTATACCAGGAAGGCAATGAAGAAGTAAGATGGAGGGCCAAGGGGGAAGCAACACCAAGCAACGCGAGGGCACAGAAATAAGTATAAGGACAAATAGAGAGAGAGAGAGAGAGAGAGAGAGAGAGAGAGAGAGAGAGAGAGAAAAAAAAAAATAAGGCAAGAAGAAGCAAGCCAAGGTGGGAGGCGCGCGAAAGGAAAGAAAGGCGTGCTATAATCTATCAGCAAAGCGATAAACTGTCATGAGGGTCTGAGGATATATAGGCAATGACGCTGGGAGGAGGAGCATTATAATGTTTCATGATGGATCCATACATAGGCCAAGGAGCAAGGCAGTATGACTTGGACAAATAAAAATGTGAAAGCACAAAGAGCGAATGTATAACCCCCTGAAAAATGTTACCAGCGTGCAGGGCTGAGGCTCGCAAGCAGGTCACGCAACGTGCCCCAAGTGCATGCAATTCAGTTACTGCTTTTTCTCAAGTCGCCCGTCAGTCAGGCAACGCAACAATGGCCGTCTCCCCTTTCAACGAGAACATGCACGTGTCCATGATGCCGCAAGTCTTCACCAGAAAGGCCTCGCCCTTGACGCGGAAGACGCGGCCATGAACATTCTCCCAAGGCGACACGCAGGTCCAGCAAACACCGTCTGCCTCCACCGTGGGCAAGGCCAACCTGGGACATCCATCCATGGTGAAGCACACGGCATCGTTGTGTGACAAAAGGTAGCCGCCACAATGAATAGCCTGTGCTGCGGTAAAGACCTCCTGGGTGCCCAGAACCGGGCCTAGCACATCTTTCAATCTGCGCGGGGCAGGTCTTTTGGAAAGAATGCGGACAACACCCAGTGACATGCGCTCTTCATCGGAGAGCTCGCGCATTGACTGCAGGGCAATATCTGAAAGCACTGACTTCTCAAACGCCGAGCATGGTTTGCCAGCGTTTTGACCATTTTGTGCTTCCTTTCATGTGTGAAGCATCTGATAAGAAGCTGATGCCTGGCCAACTGCAATGGAAGATGTAGAGCAAGGTGACACTTGGGCGTCCAGTGCTCAATCCCACACTGCTCCTGGAAGCCATCCAACTGCAGCCGGATTCTGCGCGCCAGTTCTGACGCCTGACCTTGTGGAGCATGGGATCTGGCCAATGAAAGCAGCATGTCCGCGACTTCCATCAAACGATAGAAAGCCGCACAGTCCTGCTTGAGGGGCGGGGTCGCGCTGTCCCACACGAAGAGGTTGACAAAGACGCGCAGCAGAATGCAGAAATTGATGGTCTCAGAAGCACTGCACTTCAAAGGGTCAGACGCCTTGCGCTTATCCAAAACCCTGTGCGGCTTGGAACCACGAAGCCGGGCAGGAGAGCTGAACCCATCAATGAAATCCTCAACTTCCTTCTTGGCGTGACCAGCAGCCAACAGTTTGCCAAGAAACAGGCCTGCATGGGTGTTGGCAATGCCGTGCACGAAATATACGTGAAACCAGTCGTACATGGTGTCCACTGCCAATCTGCCGCCAACAGCTTCATGGCTCATGACAGTCTCATTTTGCCAATTGAACCCTAGCGACTGCTCGAGTTTGGCAAAGGCACCTTTGCCCAGCAGCGGTTGCTGGGCACGAAGGTAGTCAAGAGTCGCTTGCACTGATTCTGCGTTATGCAACCGAAAGCGAGACATGTCAGTGCAATTGGAAGCAACTCATGCGAAGTCAGGTCGGCCTTGTGATCGATGCAATTTTGGCATTGCAAGCACAGGACCGTCCCTGCAGCTCCTTTGTTGCCGCAAACTGACTCCATGATGGAGGCCTCATCCGAGATCATGAAGCCAAACTTGGCAAACAACATTTGAGGCTGCTCGAAGTTCAGCTGCATTCCAGCCCGAAAGTCATGCCAAGTGAAAAACAAATCAAGCACGTGACGCATCAAAATTCCCATGCCCCCAACTTTCTTCACCACGGACGACCTCACAGTTGTGGCCGTCAGTCAGAAATGCTCCATAGCCAATGCGTGGGACCCCAGTTCGGCGAAGGAGAAGTAAACAGTTTGTAGCTTGCGCTTGTTGACGTGTTTGAGCTGGTTCCCTGGGCTCACCTCGTCACTATATATGACGAGGCGCCAGGGACGCTCAAACGAAGATGGGCATACTTGCAGCCTGTGCAAGAAAAACTCTGCAAAAGGCTGGCAGTTCTCAATGGAAGCTGTCAACGTGGCAGCCGGGTGCAGCACAGGGATGTTCACTGTCCTGCCAGAACCATCTGCGTAGGGCACATCTACAGCCTGTAAGAGAGGCCCATTGCTGGTCTGAAATTCTTCCAGGCGTTCCTCTCTGGTCCTTTTGATGGATCTTCTAGAGGTTGCTGCAGGCAAGCCGTCTCGGGCAATGTCACGTAAAACCTCCTGCAAGCCCCGGCATGAGACAAAGGAACGCGCTCCCAGCTCTGCTAAGGCTGCCATTGCAAGCGTGCTGGGAAACTATGTCACCTTTAAACAATGTTCATGTCGTAAGGTTGGAAACATGACTCAAGCGCGTGAACCAGAACATGCGCCATTCACCAGTTTGTCAGGACGACGCGCGAGTTTACACCGCCCTGCTCGCACTCCAGAGGTCTTCACATGTACCAATCAAGCATGCAAACAAAAAGGCTGCGGTGACACGTGCATATATCGCTTCACGCGTCGCTTGCAGGGCAATGCTCGCAAGCCTGCTCCATCGTGAACATGTGACAGCTCGCAAAACAATTTTCCACACATCGGTCCTACAGCAGCGTATGCAAAATCAAAATTGCAGCGCCCTGCTCGCAAGGCGCTTTCTCCAGGGCCACTGTCGAACTTCTTCACGGGTGCGCTCCGTTGCGGACATGGACTTGGCTTTGGCTTTGACAGCTGCCTTCTTCTGCGGCATTGCCTTGGCCTTGCCTTTGCCTGCCGGCTTCTTTGCCACAACCTTTGCAGATGGCCTTCTCATGCAGCTGCTGGCAGCTGGCCTCTTCATGGGGGGGCGACTGCCTGTTTCATCCTCCTTCGGCTGGGCACCAACTCCTTCTCCTTCAGCCCGCTTTGAGAAAGCTGACATCATGAGCTTAGCTTGCTCGGCAGGAGACAGTGGCTGTCCCTGATTCTGTTGGGGAGGTGATTTTTCTGGCGGAGAGGTCGGACTCAAAGCCTTGGCGGCAGGAGTCGTGTCGGACTTCTCGGGCTGCGGCAACGCCGGCGCCGCTGTGGTCGTGAAAACCTGCAGGTTCTTCAAGCCCACGTCAGCCTGCGCATTCTGCATCTTCATGAGCATGCCCAGCAACGAATTGATCCCGGACATCTCAATGCCACTGCTGGGCTGAAGCGCTTCTGCGCTACTAGGCCTGGCCATCTTGTTGGACTTTCTCAGCACCATGGATCCGGACGGCTGCGCAGTGCAGCCAGCGGGCGCATCATTTGCATAAGCCTTCTGCCGCACCGGCTCGGGCAGCCCATCTGGAGAGTCAGGGTATTTGGTGATGTGAACCCCGTCTGCACATGGCCATTGCAAGCGCTCTTGAGGAAGCGCTTGAAGTCACGCACCGCCTCCAGGAACAGCTTCGCATCAGAAAGGCCAGAAGTTCCCAAGTGGCGCAGTGTTGAAACAACGTGTCCGCAAGTGCTTTCGTTGGGCCACTGCAGCCCAATGGCTGCACACCTCACAGCGAAGCTTGGAAGCCAAACTACACGGAGTCTCCAGGATTGCTTCCTCCCCGTGGCTGAGCTGCTTGGCTTGCTCCTCAGTCCAGGGGCCCTCGCCAATCAGCTCGGAACTTTCCTCTATAGACATTCCAGACAAACCTCCGCTTCATTGACTCCATCTGAGATTGTCTCACACCATGCCAGTGCTGTCCTAGACATTTCTGCTGTGTCCGCAGAAACGTCTGGATGCCTTGCAGCTCCTGAATCAGCTTTTGACCGGGCGTGGTCATGGCCCTTGAAAAACAACACCGGAGGGCACTAACACAACTATATAGCATCAAGAAAACAAATGAGCCAGCAGGAGAATGAAGGCACCAAGCTGCAACTCTCCACGCTGTGAACTTGCACAACTGCACATGCATTCAGAAATGTATGACCCTGCAAAGCAACCGCGGTCAAAGCGCACACGGAGTCTTTTTGGGCCTCGCCTGCGTCCTGGCAGATTCACAAAGCTCAGAGCACACCGGCGATGTGCAGCCACTGGCTCTTCCGAAGGGCCGCTTTCCACACCTTCAATCTTTGGTCTGCTGGCCGGGTCTTGCGCCGGCAGCGCACCAACGAGACAAACGAACGGAATGGGAAGGGGCGCTCCACAACACTCCGAGACCAAAGCACCACATGGCCGGGGGGTGCCATGACTGGAGACCCGTGCCACAGCAGTTTCACGCCTTCACTTTGAGGAGCTGTGACTTGATCTTCCCAGCAACTCATGGTGCGTCACTTTGTCAGTGTCCTTGAAGTTGAGGGTCCCCAGGTGCTGGCCGGTGATCCTGGCGATCTGGAAGTGGATGCCCGCGCCGTCTTTCAAAAGCTCGCCCTGAAGAACGATGTCCACCACTGGTCGCACACAAACAGGAGGAAAGGTTCGGTGTGTGTAGATGGTGGAT